CTCTTGCTCAGGCTGGTTTCGAACTCCTGAGCTCAAACAATCTGCCCACCTCGGCCTCCCAGAGTGCTAGGATTACAGGCGTGAGCCACCGCGCCCGGCCCTGGCTTAGACTTTAGAAAGGCTTTTTTGGTTTGGATAGGCTGGTTTTCTCAATATGATTCCCTAGAATGTGTACTAATACTTTCGCCTTTGCTTCTGAAGGATGGTGTATGCAGAGTGTGGTGGTCCAGGTCCGCAGCTTTTCCCACTGTCTTCTGGCTCCCACAGTGTAATTTCTATTGAAAAGTCAGCTTAATTAATACTATAGTGGGACCTGGGAGTCTGAGTGGCGTTGGTTGAAGGCAGGAAAGTGATTACTTGCCTCTGGGTGGATCTGGTGGAATTCTGGAGGCTGATGTGGAAAGTCCCTCTGAATCTTTATTGGTCTGTGTTATACCAAATTCCCAGGACAGTAAGAATAGAGTTTGGTTATTGGGTTAGTAAACATTATCCTTTCACATGTAGAACCTTTAACAGCTAAGCCTGTGAACTTAATTCTCTCTCTTCCCCTCTCCGTGTGTGTCTCCGCAGCACAGACCCTGGATTCTCATGGTCTATGGGATGTGGGCCTGCTGGTGTGTGCTGGGGACCCCAGGTGTGGCCATGGTCTTGCTCCACACCGTCATCTCCTTCTGTGTGGCCCAGTTCCAGTCGCTGATCCTGTCATGGCTCTGTTCTCTCCTCTTGCTCTCCACACTGAGGCTGCACGGTGTGGAGGAAGTTAAGGTAAGTGTCTTTGTGTTACCATCGGAAAGGAAAAGGCTCTGTTGGCTTTTGCCTGGTCTCAGCACATATCTTTGTTTTCAGACAAGAGACAATTGTAGAACCATGATGGGGCTCCCCCTAGTGACCATATGGGGTTGATACATGTGAACCCTGGTGGGGCATTCTGCAATCTTTTCTTTTGTGTCTGGCTAAGACACAAAACGTTGCTCCCTTTACTTTTTCTCTTAGGTAGACATGGAGGGTGCCAGATGTTATAGGAGCAGAGGGGCAGGATCAAAGGGAAAAGAAACAAATAGTCCCCTAGGCATTTAGTAAAAATCATCTGGAGAGCACTTTACAATTTGTAGAGAACACTCACGTTCCTTATTTGGTATCCACATGGTCCTGTGATGGTCAAGCAGGTGTTTTTCTTCTTAGTTGATGGAACAGATTTATTTATTTCTACTCACCCCACTGGAAACTCTTTGAATTTAGAAAGTGAAAATTGTCATTTTTGGAAACCCAAAGACATTGACAGACTCAACTACCTATCAATTTTTTGTGCTAATGGAGGAGGACATTGGGCCTAAACCCCATTTCTGTATGGCTTTTGTTTGCATTAGTAAATTTTTCTTCTATAGGCATTTACCTTCTTAGCTTTATTTTTTCTTAGTCACAATAACAGTGCATTTTTATTTTCTGAGCAGATACCAGATTCGGCCCAGGGGATGACAGACTGCTTTCCAAGTTTAGGAGTTTGGTGTGTGGTGCTGAGCTGATCGCACCCATGGGCGAGCTCTCCCCATATTGCATTTTCCGATTCCTATTGTATGTTCTCTGATCATCTCCGGGGCTGTGTGCACCATCCCCTGGACAGCTCCAGATCATCTGGGTGTGTCTGTGGTAACTGGAATGACTTAGCCCTGCTCGTCTCAGGCCCACTCTGAGCTTCTCTCTCTCGCCTATCTGTTGAATGTTTGTTTTCAAGTTGGAGAATCCAACTTGTCATCAAAGCTGCCAAAGCAGCCATCAGATCTGTGGTTGCGAGGGACAGTCTGGGTGGAGCTCTCAACCATTCAGAAGTGGGAGCTTTCCCCTGGGGTAGCAATGCGTGGCAAAAAGAACACCCACGTTCAGGGTCCCAGCTCCAGTTGTCTGTTCTTGGGATCTGGGCATTAGAGCACCTTCAGCTGTAGGGTCAGTCAACTGCAAGAATGGCCAGCTTGAGAGACTCACAGCTGTGAGAACATGGGGCCATGTGCCCAGGGCAGAGCTGTGGCTGTTTTCCATCTTCATCAGCCGCCTTCCCTAGCCTGGTTCTCAGCGACTGGCTGAGTGGGGTCACAGGGGCTGTTGTCTGAGTCAGGCTAATCTGCTTATCTTTCCCTTTACACATGTACACATTTCTACCCTGTCTCTTGGAACCAACCTCCCCCACATCGTCATCCACCAGATTCTCTTGTCTCTTTCAAAGTAGGCTTAGACCTCAGTCTCTGGTGCAGTTCCTATCTTGCGTAAAACCCTTCTCCAACTCCAGTTTGTTTTCTTTCTGTGTGTCCTTGGATGAAATCAAAGAGGTGTATTGACTGCTTCACTAGTGCTGGGCTCTGTGCTGGCTTAGGATTTTTGTGTGTTCACTTTACACGACGCAACGTGGATATCCATTGCGTGGTGTGTCTGGTTTTGTGGACTAGAATATAAACCGTTTGAGGGGAAGGGCAGTGTTTCCACGCACCTGCATGCGAGACTGCAGGCCCGTTCCCTGCACATGGCTGCTGACCGAGTGAATGTGCCCGTGGAGATCGTGTGGGCCTAGAGGAAGGAGTGGGCGTGTGCAGTGTCCCACGAGGCCCCATGTGACGTGCTCCTGGGTCCCAGGTGGTGAGAGGGCCAGCAGGTCTCCGAAGGGTACATGACACTAACTGATCGGTTTTTCTGTGGCTGTCTTTTATTTCTTACCTTCACCCCGTTAACATTCCTTTTGCAAAATCTTAGGAAGTTTTTGAGATTCTTTATTCAATCACTATGGGACTGAAACTCCTGTGACATCTTTATTTTTGTTCATTTGTTCATTCATTCACTCACTGGTTGATTGGGGTGACTGCATGTAGAACTTGTGTGCCCTGGATCTGCACAGTGGCGGGAAGGAGCATGAGGGGCAAAATGGGCCGGTGGCCCAGTTTCTAGTCTCTTCTATTCACTGTGTCTTCCTACTCTTGAAGCTGGAGGCAGCCATTTAATGTCTGAGCCTCAGTTTCGTTATTTGTAAAAAAGAAGTATATAGCTGCTCTTAGGGGATTGTTCCCAGGGTCAAACAAGGTCAATGCTAAGTGATTTTATGAAAATTGTAGTGTTAGGGTGGGGACTCATGAGGAGCTCGTGGCACCGTTTGAGAAAGATTTCCTTCACAAAGATTAGGATAAACAGAAGTAAAAAGTTTATTTACTTTCCCGAGAAGGAAAGGAAAGAAAAAGAAAAGGAGTGGAGAAAGACAGAAAGGGAAAAATGGCACAGCACTGAGAGCAAGTAGTGGGAAATGCCAGCAGCCTAGGAAAAGTGGCTTGGTGTTTTTAAAGGGTAAAAATGGCTTTTTTTTTTTTCTTTGCTTCAGACTGATAACAGAAGTGGCTGTAGACTGGCTGTGTTTGCTTTTTCCTTTTTTTTTTTTTTCTTGCTCTGTGAGGCTGGCTTTATCAGAGTTCTTGAAATGTAGTCCTGGCAGGAACTGAGGCAGGGAGACCGCACCCCTCTTCTCTGTTTGGGGCTCTTCAAGGCTGTGAAACAAACTCTAGAGATAGTGAGTTGGGCTTGAAGACAATAAGTTGAGTCCCAGGTGTTTAATCAAACAAAACAAAGGGCAGTTGTGCTGTGAGTTTTCTCTTCAAAGGGGTAATTATTTTGTGAATTTACTCTTTATTTTTCTCTCTTAGCTTATTAACAAGGCCACCTTTCAGTAGCATTTCAAAAGTTTAAGTATTTTTTGTTGTTGTTAGACTGTCTTAATTTTTCTCACTCTCACCAATGGATTGGGGCTGATACTTTGTTTTAAACACATACATCAAAATCTGGACTTACGGGAGTAAATCAGGTAGTAACTCTGTCTTAACAAAAGATACGTGCCTTCCCAGAATGATTAATTAGGCAAGTGTGCCTAAAAATGGATTTGCAATAAAAATACGAATGTACACCTAATGTTTTGGGGACCTAGCCAGTGTACAGAATCTAATTTATCATTTCTTTGGGGGCAGTTAGCATCAGTTATGAATGTTGGTGGTGAATATTCACTTTTTGTGCACACTTTATGGTGACTTGAAAAACACTGCAGAAAGATCAAATGACTAGGAACCAGTTGGGGTTCCATGCTTTCGCACATGTGGTTCTCTTGATATGCATGTCCTCCTCACCCTTGGTGGCTGCCGAAGTCTTAGACAAGGAGCAGAAACTCTGTTCAGTGGTTGGTTTATCTGTGAACAGCCTTAAAAGACCCTCATGGATCAAATTACTCATTCTCTTGACCCAATTCTATATCTTGTATATAGTTCCATAAGTTGTTTTTCTCATTAAAAAGCAAATATATATGCATTTTTAGAAAATGTAGAAGAACAGAGATTATAAAATGATTCATGATTTTACTCTCCCAATAGTAACATTTGATCACATATCCTTCTTGTCTCTTGTCCCATGCAGGTTTTTGTACAGGCTTGTTCTCGTTTCATGCTGGGTCGTAATTGCATTTTTACAAACCTATCTCTTATATGAGAATTTAAACACATTGAGAGCAGGGACTGTGTCTTTTAAATATGTGTCTCTAAAGCTCATTTGGCAAATAGTACTCAATTAAATACAGAGCCAAATTAACAGAAGAGCAAGAAGAAAAATATGTTGAAGACGAATCCCATGTGACATTTTAAGTCGCTCTGTCATCAGAGCTGTCAAAGTCGCCATTGGATGTAGCTAATCTCCACTGGATGTGTCTAGCAGATACACATCCAGGAAAACCTTCAGGTGGCATCAGGTCTAATGCGAAGTTTATTTAGAGATGTTCTTTTGCTTGTTAACTGCTTGCTTTGATTAGCAATGAGATTTACTTGGTGTTCATTGGATCTTGACTCTCTTTATGGTACAGCTGCTCTACCTGGGGAAGAGATCTCCTTCCCAGGGTTCCTGGGCTTCTCAGACAAAGGTGGCCAGCACCTGCATCAGATGATGTCCCTCCTGGACCACTCTAAGGCTGTTCTCTCCCTTTGATTTCTCAGAAAAGGTGGTACAAGACGGAAAACGAGTACTACTTGCTGCAGTTCACGCTGACTGTCCGCTGCCTGTACTACACCAGCTTCAGCCTCGAGTTCTGCTGGCGACGGCTGCCGGCCGAGCGCGCCTCCTACTCCTTTCCCTGGATGTTGGCCTATGTCTTTTACTACCCGGTTTTCCACAACGGGCCCATCCTCAGCTTCCCGGAGTTCGTCACACAGGTGGGGCCTGTCGGGGGTTGGGTTGGTATTTGTAGAGTAAGCCTCTGTCCTTGTTGCTGTGGTCATCTCTGGGACTCTTGAATCTTTTCACCCAGGTGTGCCCACGGGTTTAAAACACACACTTAGTTGTTGTGAGTTTTCACGTAACAGACCAAATAGGGGAAACAGGCTGATCTGCCTCTCATGTGTGTTAGTCTAGGGGTCCCCATTCTGATTCTCAGTGGAGTGTGGCAGTTGGACCTGATGACTGGGGCACACGGAGAGGGACTTGGGAATTGGTGTCCACTGTGGTGAAGTCCTCGGGAAAGAAAAATTTTTATTATGATGGTCCTACTTGAAAAAGTAGAAAGCTGTTGCTTGGCAAATAAGTTTCCCTTTATAGTCACAAACTGCTTGTGAAATAGCCCTGCCGTAGCCTGGGAATTCAGGGTGACCTAGATGAGAAAACAGAGGGGTGGTGAAGAAAGTTCAAAGGCGATGGTGTGTTTTCAGGTCTGGGAGCCTGTGTGTGCCCGGGCCCTGCCTGCCTTCTCTGGACGGCATCCTTGTCCCAAATGCTGTGTTGAGCTACCTTAGTTGTTCCCATTTCACCTTTCCTTCTACTTAGAACTTTCTTTCTTGTTTTTCCTTTCCTTCAACCCATGTCTAGTTTCCTGGACATGTTTGCTAAGTTAATTCACCTAAGGTGTTAGTAATCAATAATACCTACAGCAGCGTTTCTCAAGGGGCGTTTCTACTCCCACCACCAAAACAAAACAATTCTGATGGAGGAGAGAATAACATGTATGTACGTACACATGTACAAGAAACACACACACACACGCCTGGCAGCATAGTTTAAAGTGGAGAGCCAAGAGCAGTGCTGCACATTTCTGAGGTGGGTTGGGGGTGGAGGGGACATGAAGGATGCCCCCCTGGGAAAAAAAGGAGCATTCTTAGAAATATTTCATCTTAAAAATTCCCATAAGTTGTGCATTGTACTCAAAATTATATTTTTGCATTATAATAATATAATGCAAATATAATATTATATATATTATAATTATAATAATAACATAATGTTCTAAAATAGCCAGTGAAAGTATATAACTTTTTTCCCTTCAGAAATCTTTAAGTGAAATTGACATTCTAGGTAGATGTATGTTTAGGGTGTGGTTTCTCATACCTTGGTGTGGGTTACATAGGATCGTTCTTTGGTCATGATGTAATTTAAAATCTGTGTTTAAAATTGTGTAAAACTGCGGTCCCCAATGGTCCGTGGCCTCTTAGGAAAACCAGGCCACACAGCAGGAGGGGCAAGCGAAGCTTCATCTGTATTTACAGCTGCTTCCCATCGCTCACCGTCTCCCCGCAACCCCCGCCCCTGGGTCCTTGGAAAAATTGTCTTCCCTGAAACTGGTCCCTGGTGCCAAAAAGGCTGGGGGACCACTGGTGTAAAAGACAGAGGAGGTGGTTTAGTGGTGGCAGCAGATCTTCTAACTCTGGTTTGCAAAGTGTGGTCCCTGGGCCAGTAGCACCTGGGTCACCGTGGTCTGCATCGCCAGGACACTTGTAAGACATGCACATTCTCAGGCCCTACCTGACCTACTGAATCATGAACCTCTGCGGGTAGATCCCAGCAGTGTGGTTTAACAGGCCCCCAGGTGATTCTGATGCACGCTAGAGGCTGAGGGTCACCATCCTTAGTTCCTCAGAAGGGGGTGTGGGAAAGGTACAGTATAGGGTGGGTTCGGGCCCTGCAAGTTTTGTCTGTTTCACAATCTCCTCACCATTGTGAGTTTTGAATTCTTCCCAGTTTGCCAGGCGATAACTTTTGGACTAAACACCCACACACAGACACCTCTGTCCTGAGGACAGATGGTAATTCTCAGAGAAACACAGACTAAGTCCATTCGGAGGAAACAAATTATTTCCCTAACTACCCTTCATCCATAAGGAGCTTTGTCCTGTAGGATCTGCACTTTATCATTATGCAAAATAATTGGTCTTTTTGTTTCCATCGCCTTTCAAACTGTGGCCTGTAGGGTCCAGTAGGAATATCAGAGGCCTATTGTGGGGTCCTCTATCTGTCATGCGGAGGCTCACTTTGAGATTATTGCCCACCTCAATCCTCAGCCAATGGCTCACGTTCTCTGGTCTCAGTCTGGGGAACAGAAGTGGGTTGTTTCTTCCTATAGGGGCTCAGTTATAGAGACTCTGGGTTTCATCTGTGTCTCCCCCTCTCCCCCTCTCCCCCTTCTAAAACAGTAGCAATTGCAGAGAGCAGGGAAGTTGGAAGGGCAAATTAAAATTTTTCTCTATGGTCTGGGAATATTCATAGAAAAGTCAGTCTAGAAAGGGAAAATGTTAAGTGAGCTACAGGGCACATACAAAAAGCCAGGAGGTTTCTGCAGTTGTGGAGATGCCTCCGGGCCCTTCCTTCCTTCCTATGGGCAAGGGGGCTTTAAAAGGGGAGGGGTTAAACCAAGAAGCTAACCCAGTGGTAAAAGGATTCTTTCAGAGAGACCAGGAGGAAAAGGCTGGGACGGAGAGGAAGAAAGCTGAGTGGAAAACTTGTAAGCAAGATTTGTGCTTACAAGTACTCGAATTAATGCATGCATACAGTGCCTTCGGATGTAAGCGTTGCTAATAACTGAAATTCATAGTTCTTAACAATGTAGAGCAGCAGGGTGAGGCTTCACCACCAGGGGGCAGCAGAACCCCATCGTGGAAACCAACCCAGGCGGGAAATCGGTGCCCAGTTGGGAATCTGCAAACTCCAAATGATGAAATGGCCATGTTAGGCACACCCCTGGAGGATGTCTTTCACCCGGTTTTTTAGCATGTAAATTTACATACTTCATTTGTGTAACTATAGAAGGAGGTGCTTTCTGTAATGTAAGGCATGTGAAATTTGCACACATCAGTCATGAACAGGTAAAAATTTACCTCCGTGCCTTAACTTGAAAGCCATTTCTGGTGGCATTTAGAGCCCGATGGGCCCGATTTATTTTCGTCCTGTGTTTCTGTGGAACTCGGATACTGAGCCAGGGTGAGGCAGGCATGGGGGGTTGAGGGAACAGCAGGACGTGCCATTTATTTGCTTAGCTTGGAGCGTGGGGCCGCGACATTTCACTTTGAACAGGCTGAATTATGCAGTGTGGGCTGGGGTGCAGGGAAGAAGAGGGGCCTCAGTGCGGTGGGCCGGGGCTCTTCCTTGGGTGGTTCTCCTACCTCGGGGTTTGGCGTGGAGGTTGAGAGCAAAGGCTCTGGAGCCGACTCCCCAGGTTTGAATCCCTCTCTGTTTGGGCTTGAGAGCATCTGGTGAGATATTACCTTATTTATGCCTCAGTTTCCTTATCGGTGAAATGGGAAGAATCATAGTTCCTCCCTCACAGGGTGGTTGTGAGGACTAAATGATTTTAAATAGGTGATGTGGCTTGGCACATCAGTACTAGGAGTATTAACTCTTACTATTATTACTGTTGATGGTATTAGCCAAATGCTTGTGGTGATTCCAGGGTGAGTGGGCTAGAGCTGAGACCTGGGTATCCAGTCTGGCAGGGGCACAGCAGCAGGGGGTCCTGGACAGTGGCCATCCTTCAGGAAGAGTCCACTGTGCTGGTCCCCTCTGTTTGAAGAGACCCAGGCAGTTGCTGCACGTACAGGGGTGGGCCCAGCCCTGGATAGCTGGGACTGGCAAGTGCTGGGCACGCAGGCAGTGTCCCCAGAGCTTTGCCCAGGGTTTGGCACAGGCTCTGGTTCTAGGGAACACCTGCAATGATGCTAATTATGACAAATAATGCTAACTAAGTACTCCGGGCCAGGCTTTACATGTTCTAACTTACTTAATCCTCACTACGACCCTATGAAAGCAAAACTGTTGTCACCACTTTGCAGACAGGGACATGGGGGCAGAAAGAGGCTGTTGGAATGCAGATTGGGTAGAAGGAATAGAGACGTGAGCCTTGCCATGCTGACTTGGCGTGACAGGAGTGAGGGAATGGAGTGGGGCCTGGTGGACGCATGAGTCTGGACGTTCGAACTGGCCAGACCAGGCTCCAGTCCTGTGGCAGCAACACCACCGGCAGGCCCCACGTGCTGTTCTGGGGAGGTCACTGTGCGTCACTGGCTGTGGTCCAGAGGGCTGGGGAGGGGCCGGTGAGGGTCTGATGAGGGAGCGATGTGTTGGGAGCAGGAGTGTGGTCTGTGACCAGAATGCGGAGGAACTACGCCCACTACAAAGGAATAAGGCATCTGCTACGAAGCCCCCAGACCCAAGCAGCTAGAAGCCAGGAAGTCAGGAGCAGGAAGGGCCCAGTTGGATAACCGGCTCTGGGTAAGGCTTTTGTGGGTGCTCTCCAACATATGCATTATAGTATGTGAAGGAAAGGGGCCTTTCATCTTTGAGAACTTGTCATCTTTAATCATCAGAATATCTTTGAAAGAGAGAGAAAAGCTTTGCTATTCCTTTTTATGCAATTTGCATGAAATGAGGTTTTAAAATATAATGCGTTTTTGAAATGCACTTTGCAGATGAGTTAATGTGTATTTTTCAGTGGTGCCTGAACTTAAAATTTCCGTGGTGGCAGTTGCTAGTGGTCTTAAGGTTGGCAATCCTCTAGGTTTGAAATGTCTCAGATGACACATTTTGCATGCAGACAAGACAGTGGCCCTTCTCATTAGGTGGGCTGTACACGCATGTCTGTCCTTCCTGCTGGGTTGGCAAGGAACAAATGTTTTTTTTTTTTTTTTTAAATAGGAGTCAACTAGATTGAAAGTACAAATGGACCGTAATAATGACATGACTAAAGAAAGCCGTATTTTAAGGTAAAAGCAAATAGAAAGGAAAGTTGTATGGTTTTCCTTCTGCCGCATTTATTTGTGTAATTAGGTAATAAACTTTTCTGTCCTCATAATGAGGAGGCATTTAGCACCAAAAAGGGAGCATTGCAGAGAAACATCCAGCCCTTTTGGCCCTGTAGTGACACACAATCATGCCTTATTAAACCTGGCAGGGA